ATGACCGGAAACGGCTCATTCCGATTATTGAAACAATTAAATTATGTGGACGTCAGGAATTGGCTTTGAGAGGTACGTGCGACTCAGGTCCTATAAAAATCAATGATCCTGAGCCAGAAACAAATGATGGAAACTTTCGTGCTATCGTACGGATGAGAAGCAGATGTGGAGTCTCAAATCTAATGAAGCACATGGAAAATATGACTTTGAACGCTACCTACCTAAGCCCGACCATACAAAATGAACTTATTGCAATTTGTGGCGAAATAGTCCAAAAAAAATTGTGCAAGAATTGGATACTGCGAAATGTTTTTCAATCTTTCTTGACGAAACTACTGATGTTTCACAACAAGAACAAATGTCCATTTGTGTGAGATATGCCGAGCCAAAAGATAATGTGTTTATCTTGCGTGAAGATTTTGTAACTTTTGTAACAGATGAGAATACAAAAGGAAAGTATTCAGCAAATGTAATTTTATCTGAATTGAAATCTTTGGGAGTAGATTGCGAATACTTAATCGGACAAGGATATGATGGAGCTTCTTCGATGAAAGGAAGTTTTAAAGGTGTGCAGGCAGTAATTTGTGAGTCACATCCAGAAGCCTTAAGCGTCCATTGCAGCTCACATTCACTGAATTTAGCTCTAGCTAATTATTGCAAATTTCAGCCTATTTGGAATACTATTGGAATTATAAAATCCGTTGGAAATTTCTTCGAGTCCTCGGCAAAATGAAACAAGTGCTTGAAAGAGAATATTGAAAAAACTTCCCCGAAACACAATGGAAAAACCTTACGGAAATGTGCGAGACCCGTTGGACTGAAAATCATGATGGGTTGTTGAGATTCAAGGAAATCTAAAAAATTGTTGATACACTAGCACCAGACGACTTAAGCACTGACATTTCAAGTGATTTTGTTATAAGCTTATGTTGATTAGGAATGTTGTTCCCATACACACTGACACTATGCAAAATACTTCAATCTCCTATTTGCGATTTGGCAGCAGCTTTACAACATGTCGATTTAATCATGAAGACCATTGAAGACATTCGCCAAAATATTGATTCAAAATTTGCTCAACTTTTCCAGAATGCACAGAATTTGCTCTGTACTGTAAACGAAGAAATTAAAATTCCGCAAATAACGTAACTCCAAGGGCATAGGGCAAACTACAATACAAAATATCCTGAAACTTATTTAAGAATTACTATAATGATTCCACTTTTGGATGATTTCATTGATCAGCTCCATTCGGGATTCCAAAATCATAGAGCCACATTATCATATCTCAACTTTTTAATTCCTTCTGTAAGTTGCAAAGAACAAATCAATAATGAATATCAAGAATATTCCTTTGAGTTCTATAAAAAATATTTAGAATGGGACTTTGTGAATGCTGAAGAATCTGAACTTGATCGACCAACATGTGCTATAGAAGCTCTCGGAGAATGCAACCAGTCCTCTTTTCCAAACATTCACAAACTTTTAAAGATCTTGGCGATACTGCCTGTTTCCACATGTACCCCTGAGAGCAGTTTCTCTTCCCTGAAACGACTCAAAATCTATTTAAGAAACTCCACAAGCCAGGAACGACTAAATGGTTTGACGTTAATGTCAATCCACCGTAGAATTGACATCGACACCGTGGAGGTAATTGATTTGTTCGCTGAAAAAAAAGCTAGAAAACTTAAATTTGATTTTGGTAAAAATGTTTCTAATAAATATGTATGATCATGTAACACCATTTTCTTTCTTTCGTTTATTTTTATTCTGCCGATATAAAGGAGATGTCTCCCAGCGACCTGTCCACCTTCCTGGAAAGGACAGGATGGACGATGACCTAGGAGGACAACTCCTCGGGAGGATGTACAATGGGTCACATGTGGCCTAAGTGCGTGGGCTTACACTCACCCTCCCTACTCTAAAGATACAGATACAGTGTATAGTGTTATTGAAGTATACGTACATGTGGTTTGAGTTGCATGTTTGTTATACTTAATGAAGTATTTCATTACAAGTTTGCTGCTTATTTAAAGAACTCACTGCCAACATTTAAGAATGAGCCGTTACTGGAAGTTCAGATATGAAAACTAAAAAGAATGATTTCTTTTATTTTTTTTGAAATCTCCCACTCTTTTTTTTGCAGTTCCCACTAACAATACTGAAGTAATGAGTGCATTTTCTAATAAACCCATGTAATAGAATGTTCATAATTTTCACAGTTCAATTTGACTTCAAGTTCGATCATGGATGGATCACATTTTACTCACCACTTTCTCTTTGCTCCGAAGGACTCCTAGCTTTCCAAATCTCACGTGGAAAGGAGAGCAGTTGAAATTTCCATCGGGCTGCTCAACAACTACCACATCAATAGCACCAGTTAACGTAGCACCGTTTATTTCATTATAGAAGTCCTTGACGTTGGAAATTATTTTCATCATACCATGCATTTTGCTAGATGAGTTTAACTACTTTTCTAATCTGAGATCGGTATCAGGTAAACTGGAAACAAAAAAAGAAAAATGTCAGTTTCTCGAAAAGAATTGACGTCGACAGAGAATGAATGTTTGCAATTTGTTTTCATATTATCACAAAGAATAGTAGAATTGTAATTTTTTTTTTGAGTGAGGTATTTTGCAGGAATAAAAACGTAAAGCATAATAAAACTAATATATTATTACTCATAAATCAGAACAACAATCGGTTATTATTACAGCATATCACAATTGAAAATATTTTTCCTGCACAAATATTTGCCGAGTAACAAGTTAGAGTAAATTTTCAACTCGAAAATTGTTTTCTGTAAACAATATTGGGTAACTCTTCTCTGAAAATAAAAAATTGATTACTCAATATTACTAGGTGTGAATCAGTTATCCAGAACAGGCCAGAAATTAAGATTTTCGAAGACATTAATTTAATATTTTCAAAATTATTTAATTAACCATAATAATCATAAAATAAAGATGTAATTTTTGAAAAGTTTAAATAATAATTAATAATTGATAATAATAAATTTTAACATGATGTTAAAAATGTCAATAGCACAGCATTAAGTCTAGAAGTGGTTAGCATATAAGAAATGACTTCAATCTACCGGAAACATGTTTATAAATTGTTCATCAAAAGTCGATTTCACATAGACATGGAATTCATTGTGAATGTCGCCCATGATCTTAGTGTTTGGAATGTGCATATATATTTATATTTTGTTGGGTCACACATAGAATACTAGAGCCGCCAAAAATAGAAAACAAAATACCCTCACAACTTGGTTAGTTTTCCAAGTATTCTGAAGTATTCATACCAACTGTTCTACACAGAATTGACCTACAATACATTCAATATAACATTGAAGGACAACATAGTGCAGGTTGTGAGAATTATCGAAGGCACTCACATTTTTTCATTCGAAGATACAGTAATACTCGATAAAACTCAAAATTACTATCCAAGAGAACCTAGAAAGGCAATAGAAATTCAAAAACACAGGGATAATTTCAATAGACAAGAAGAGGCAATTAACATCAATAAAGTCTGGCTACCTGTCCTTATAGGTACACAAAGTCAGGTAATTAAGAGAAACCCAACCACGCCCACTAATAATAATATAAAACCAGAGTCAAATGCTAGTATCATAGTTAATGAGTTCGGAAAAACGAGAGCACCAACTCGGGCACCGCGCCTTTGATAATGCCTACCGCAGTAGAAAACGAAACGTCAGGCATGAAAACCTGCAGATTATGTTATCCAATTAATGTAACACATCCAGAAATGAAGTGATTTTTTTATAAGGATCATTAAGTGACGTTTCGCTACACAGTAGTTAGATTAAGACTTCAAATTCTGAATTTAGAAGCAGAATCTTCCGCCAGAAGAGTTTTTATTGTTGAAGAACACTATCTACTGCTGAATTCACTTCCATTCTTGATATGACACAGATAAAAATGTGAACACAGAAAAATTGCGGCGGCACGCCTCTGACGACATTACTAAATGATTGCAATATGTTTTTATGGTTGTTCTAGTTTATTTTAACTGTTCATTTTCCAAGAAACTTGTTTATTTTTCAGGAAACTACAGTATTCATCTCGAATGGCAATTTGTTTCTCTGAAAATTATTTTGAAGAAAAAAAACTCATACAAATGATTCAGAAATTTCAATTTAGAAAATCGATACCAGAATTTTATTGTTTTTTTTGGCATTTTGTGTATTTGCCTGTGCGAAAGTGGCGATACACATTGGATTTGAATAGCTGGAGATTAAATCCATTTGGAAAAACGTTCTCAGGAAGTTTATTCCACATAAACGCAGTTCTCCAGATGAAAGAGTTTTTAAACAGTAAAGTTCGAGGTGTACTGAGTTGAACCTCAAAACGATGAGCAACNCACAGAACATTGATAGACTTGTTACTTTCCTGAAGTCTATAAATATATTGTGTGACATATAAAATGTATCGAATCCCGCTAATAACCCATATGGTTGATGCGGGTAAACTTGAAATAAATAAAAGAATAGTACCTAAAGAGGGTTTTGAAATTATCAAAAGTTGAAAGAACTGATTTAGTAACATACTTTTCAAATGTATTATTTAATCTTTCAAATATCCTTTTCTCTTGAACTCCAGAATAATGAATAAGTATCTTATGAGGTAATTATGGGTTTTCTTATAGGTGCGTTTTTAGATTGTCACTTTGCTAAATTTCTTCGATAATTGAATAGAACTGGCCGATACTTGATGAAAATCCATATCAAAACTCATTATTACAGTTTATTGTATGAGTTTCATTATAAAAAACCGCGACTCATGTTTCGCCATACAATAGCTTTCTCAAGCGTAAAATGATAAGTTACTTCCAAATTACTACTATTTTATATATTATAGTAAAAATCATACAATGAACTGTATCAATGATTTTTAAATTTCTTTGATTTAAAAATAATTATTTCTCAGAAATAATTATCACACTCCCTTAAAGCCGGCATAATGACTAATGTCGTGAAAGTTAACAGAACTTAGTGAAAAACAGAACAATTATAGGGAACATTTTGCTTTATGGGATACTCACGGATTTTCGCGATTTTTTCTCTGATGATACTACGTGATGGTAGGCATTCAGAACATTTTTTATTTTTTTGTCGGACTCAATTTAAACGATTGCAATTCACATATTTTTCATTCAACACATCTTTTTCCATATCATCGCACTTTTTTCTATCCCTTTTTATTCACTTACTACCAAGTTTCTTGAAATCAGATTAAAATTCCATAATTTTTCACATGCTAACTCAACCTAACCTAAACCGATCTAACCTAACCCGACCTAACCTAACTCAGTCTAACCTTTCTTTAGAATTTAAAAAAACTATATATCCTAAACATCTAACCTGACCTCCAAATTCTAAAAGGAACGAATTTTCGAATATTTACTTTTGTATAAAGTATATTTCCTCAACATATAACCTGACCTCCGAATTCAAAAAGGAACGTATTTTCGAATAGTGAAACTTAATGCAAAGTGATTGGTGTACACCTAACAAATTATGGAATTTCATTCTAATTTCAGGAAACTCGGCAATAAGTGATTGAAAAGGGATAGAAAAAAGGTGCGTTGATATGAAAAAAGTTGTGTTGAATAAAAAAATATGTGAATTGCAATCGTTTATTGCTTAAAAAAAAGAAAAATATGACATCATACAAATTTTGACAGGCTATATCTCGAAAACTAATTGAGTCCGACAAACAATAAAAAGTGTTCTGAATTCCTACTATCATGTAGTGTCATACCAAAAAAAATCGCAAAATCCGTGAATATCCCATAAAATACAAGTCAGCCCAATTATAAGGGAGGATTTCGTAATTAGAACACAGTCATACAAAAAAAAAATATTCTTGCAAAATTATCAGTTTTTAGGGAACGGTTTTTGATATTTGTATCAATGTACTCAATTTGAGTATTATCTGTAGGCAGATTAGTTAAAACTCAGTATTATCATTTCCTGATGATGACAGTTTGGTTAGAGAACTATGATAAAATAAACCAAAATCAGACGTTCAATATTCGGTCTTGGTTAGCGAAACGCACGTCGAAAAATAGTGTTTTTGTTCTGGTGTGGAAAAAGTGTTTCCTTGAAGTTAATGTGAACGCTTTCTACTCCTTGGGCATCGTACAGGAGGCATGAAACAAAACTGAACAAAACTTGTGGCATCAAAAANGGCATGAAAAACCCCTTCTCAAAATTGATGTTTCCATTAAAACGGACGGTAATCAAATATACTTAATGCATAATCATAGAAAACGAAACAGATGAATGATTAATTTCATGAACATCCTTGAAAACTTGCCATGCGATGAAAATCAAAACGTTTAATCTACTTTATTAATAAAGAGTTCTTTCAGTTTCGAAATTTCATTTTAACCTACCTTTGGTTGTACTGTGCACACACTCGCAAAAAACAATATGGTTTCAAATGTTCACCTAGCGTCAATTAATCACTAGAATATAAAGCCACACTCATTTTTCACTCGCGTAAAATTATGGCAATTATCACAGTTCGCGTTCCACGAAACTAACTAGAATTAATCCTAAATTTGAAACTCAACTTTCTCAATTGCGTCCTTGTTTATGAATGCCGCACAAAATCGAAGCGTTTTATTTATATGCCGCCCGTTATAGTGCGCGCGCGCTTTTCACAAGTCAGCTGCGGGTTTGGAGTCTGAAACAGAGGATATTTTATAATATGATGTCCATTTACATCACTTTAGCAATCAAAAGACGACCGAGATTATACATACATATTTCATACAACAAAATTGAGGGCAGCCACTTACACCATGCCAATTCTCTTAGCGACAATTAGATGTCACACTTTTTGAACAGATTTAGATTTAAATCCCGCCCGGAAGTTAACTGCATAGATATGTTTTTCAAAAATCGATGTATAGAAGGGTTTTTGGGGGAAATATATTTTTGGTTTTTCACTTTTGCTTTGAAGGCACAAATATCAACGACTATTTCTTTTGATGCATAAAAGAGATGAAACTGTTGACAGCATTTACAGAGTGCTTATTTGTCACACTGAATTGCACATAAATCACTATTCACTAATTCAAATGTGAACGTTAATACAGAGAAAGTCATTTTGATCTTGTTTCCCTAACTAAGTGGGTCGAAAAGACCCACACCCTAAATCGGTACAGCCCATCAGCCTTACATCCTTCCTGTGGAAAGGACTCGAGAGGATACTGGATGGTGGAGGGTGACATTAAATGCATCCCCTGAATAACTACCAGTATGCTTATCAAACCGGAAAATTGACAGATTTACCGTTAAACAACCTTGTAGAGAAAATCTTTCAATCCCTTGACAACAAGGAGATTGAGGTGGCTGTATTTCTCGATATTGAAGGAGCATTCGACAAGTCACTACCCAAATCTATAGAATCGTCTCTGGCTAGGAAAGGTATAGAATCGACCATAACTGGCTGGATCTATGCCATGCTGGTAAACAGAACTGTAACTACGACTCTTCAAGGCGCAGGGTCACCAGAGCTGCCCTCAAGGTGGGGTACTATCTCCCCTTCTGTGGTCGCTCCTGATGGATAGTCTGCTTGATGCCCTCGACAGAAGAAAAGCAGATCTGCAAGCTTATGCAGATGACCTTGTCATCTTGGCAAGGTCCTCGTCGGGAAGGGTAGCTTGTAATATCCTCCAAAGCACGTTGGACGTCGTTCACAGTTGATGCCTGTGGAAGCAGATGTTTGTCAACCCAAGCAAAACTGTGATAATCCCTTTCACTAGGAGGAGAAAACTGGACAATCTAACGCCACTTTCCCTCAATGGTGAGGTCATTCCATTTGGAACGGAGGTGAAATATCTTGCCATTGTCCTTGATGAAAAACTCACCTGGAAGGCTCACTTGGAAAAAGTTTCACACAAAGCCAGACGGTCCCTATGGACATGTCGAAGGATTTGTGGTAAAACTTGGGGTTTAGGTCCCAAACAGATCCATTGGATTTATGTGATGTTTGTTAGACCAATGATCACTTATGGTGCAATTGCCTGGTGACCGAAGGCTTTACAGAAAACGGCCGAGGTGAATTAACAAGCCTTCTTACAGGGCACTGTCATTTGAATCATCACATGCAGAGACTCGGACTGTCGGAAGACAGTATATGTCGCCTCTGTTTGGAAAATGATGAATCAGCATAGCATATACTTTGTGCCTGCCCCACAGAGGACCGAATCAGGTTTTTAGAGTTCGGCAGAGCCGTATTCTTACCATCTGACCTGAAAGACCCCTCACCATATAAACTAATAGGCTTTGTCAAGAAGTTGGGTTTATTTGGCCTTAACCTAACCAAACCTTCCCTAACTAGCTCAGCGTTATCAAAAGATGATTTAAATATTTTCAGGTTGCCCTATTTCCTATGAAATCTACGTCGACTTCTTTCTTTTTAATTCATAACATCGATTTAGATATAGGTAATTTATTTCACTCTGAATTTCAACTCTTCAATTCGATTCTATTACCGATACAAGTATTTTTTTCGATATCAAAGGTATAGTCTACTACGGCCATTAGCCACGTGTTCTGGGTAAGCTCAGGAGCATCATGGCTATTCTCAGTTCCGTCAGCTACGCGTAATGAAGCAGAATCAATCCGCCTGCAAGTAAATGAATTCTCGCGAGAAAAATATCTAGTTGAAGTTTGGTTCGACCTAAGGGTTTTCGCCAAAACCAATCACTTTTCCCAATCACCAAAGCTCGACGCGTTTCAGCAAATGAAGCAAACAGTTAGAGGTTGGGATCGAACTCACGTCCGGAAGACCGTACTACCACTGCGCTAATTCACCGCTTTATTACTTTAGGAGACTGTCATGTGTTTTTGTATCCCCATATCTTAATAAATACTTATTATACTGTGCCTCTTTTCAGCCAATTTTTCTCTACGAATTCAAATTGAATCATAGCGCTGCCGGAACAGCCCAAAAAATTAATCAGTTATTTGGCAATGATGGTGGTAATGAACGCAGTGTTAGACTTAGGTTTGCGAATTTTTTTTTCCAAAGGCTTTAGCCTCGAAGATAAGGCCCTATGTGGTCGGCCTACAGTAATCCAGAACAAGGATTTGAGGATCCTGGTGAAGACTGATCCATCACAAATGGTGCGTAAGATGGCGAAAGAACTGAGCGTCAGTTTCCATGCGGCTTTTGATGGTTTGAAACGCATTGGAAAGGTCAATAAGCTCGAAAATAGGGATCGACAAAACCAAAACAGTCCTTTTATCGATCGAATCATCACGTGTGTTGAAAAGTGGATCCTCTACGACAACAGGAGACGTTCAAAACAGCGGTTTGACACCGATGAGCCACACCCAGGTACCCACCAAAAAAGGACCATGGTTACTGTATGGTTGACAGCGGGCCAAACCATCACAGCAGAGTTCTATTGTGAGGAAATTGACTAAATGTACCGAAAATTACTTCAGTTGGTCAAGAAAAGAGGTCTGATCCTGCTCCACGATAACTTCAGTCCGCACGTTTCACAAATCACCGTTCGAAAATTACCACCATACTTCCCAGACCTGTCGCCAACCAACTACCGACTTTTCAAGCACTTCGATAACTTTCTCACCGGTAGGACCTTTGCCAATCAGGACCAGACAAAAACGGCCTATGTCGACTCGTTTAAATTCGTTTTTATGCTGACAGAATGAATCGACTTGTGTTAGATACGTTGCGAAAAGGGCAGATTCAAATGGCGCTTATTTCGATCAAATGAATAAGTATTTACTGAGTTATTACAGCTTGAAGTTGTCTCATAAACACGTATAAAACTTTCAAAACAATCTAATACAACCTCCTAACTTCATAGTCAATATATTTTCTCTTGATTATAATCCCTGGATAATATTCCTTTCCATACTATGACAGAAAGAGGCAACGCTTTCCGTCGCCTCTTATTTTGATTTCTGTAACAGATATTTTCTGTTCAATGTTACGGTTCATCCAATGTATTGATCTATAAATTGCTAACTATTCCACGATTGGAATCTTTCATATGTTTTCTTAACCACTATTGACATTAAATTAAATTTGTATGAATGAGAAGCTTGAACAAATTTTAATATAATATTGAAGTGAGAAGAATTAATCAACTTAGATTGTGGTCATTTACTGGAATGGTAGATTTTCCTCGTTTATTGAACTATAACCACTATTATTACGAAGATTAAATTGACAATTTCATACTGTTTTATATATAGAAATTATAATAAACTGTCTTCAAAAATTGATCAAACTGATTTATCCATAGAAATATATCATAAAAATTGAATATTCACATTTCAGGAAACAAGCAACTTATTATTTTGCTGCTTAAATTAAGAGACACAGTACACACACTACTTATGGACAGAACTAAGTTACAGTTTTAACATTTTCAAAGAAAAGTAAACGACATACCTATTGGCAATTGAATTTGGGACGGTTTAAAAAAAAACTTAATCAAAATAACTCATTTATTATACATAATCGGTCAAACACAGTGCATTTCTTTAATGCCTCCCCTCCTTTTATTTTTTGAACGGGTCAACTCAAAAAATTTAAATTTGGGATAATAAAAGTAATGTATGAATACTTTATTTTGAAGTGAAAGTGACAGATGAAACTTTCAAGATGGCGACTGGGTGCCATCTGAGAAAAGGGGGGTCTTGTGACACATCATTTTGAAGCTCCTGACGAATACTTCACAACCCTAGAATATAATGTCAATATCTTCAACTGCTACAAAATGGCGGAACTTTTAATAATTGCCTGAATACATTGACATTTAACTACATAATATGAGGTAATAAGCTTCGATACAAGTATTTTTTTCGATATCAAAGGTATAGTCTACTACGGCCATTAGCCACGTGTTCTGGGTAAGCTCAGGAGCATCATGGCTATTCTCAGTTCCGTCAGCTACGCGTAATGAAGCAGAATCAATCCGCCTGCAAGTAAATGAATTCTCGCGAGAAAAATATCTAGTTGAAGTGTGGTTCGACCTAAGGGTTTTCGTCAAAAACAACCACTTTTCCCAATCACCAAAGCTCGACGCATTTCAGCAAATGAAGCAAACAGTTAGAGGTTGGGATCGAACTCACGACCGGAAGACCGTACTAACACTGCGCTAATTCACCGCTTTATTACTTTAGGAGAATGTCATGTGTTTTTGTAGCCCCATATCTTAATAAATACTTATTATACTGTGCCTCTTTTCAGCCAATTTTTCTCTACGAATTCAAATAGAATCATAGCGCTGCCGGAACAGCCCAAAAAATTAATCAGTTATTTGGCAATTTTGAAGTTTCATCTGCCAATTTCACTTCAAAATAAAGTATTCATGCATTCATTTCATTATCCCAAATTTCAATTTTTTGAGTTGACCCGTTCAAAAAATAAAAGGGGGGCATTAAAGAAATGCACTGTATAGCTACTAGGGTAAATATTTATAATCTTCGAATTTGACGGAAGTATAATATAATAATAATAGGTACAGATCGATTTTCCTTACAAGTTAAGTATGTTAATCTCAAAATTATCACATCATTTTCGCCAATATTGGAATTGGATAGTTTTCCATAGTCGTTTGGATTCCAGTAGTCGCT